TCAAAATTTAATTCCAATGGAACTAAATTTGTAAACTTTTTTCTATAGCAGAAAAAGAATCAAACTTTTCTTCAAAATCAGAGAAAATTAGATAGTGGCACTATCAAATTTAACATCAGAACGATGATGCTCATAAGTTGCCATGAATCTTTTTCTAGACCTTTAGACAGTCTGAGGAGTCTCACATGACATTCCATGTTTCCTTCCTTAGAAAAATTGCCCCTGCTCTTTCCAATCTTTTTTTTTTTTTTTTTTTTGTCTTTTTTTTTTTGAGACAGAGTCTTGCTCTGTCACCCAGGCTGGAGTGCAATGGCTTGATCTCAGCTCACTGCAACCTCTGGCTCTCAGGTTCAAGTGATTCTCCTGCCTCGGCCTCCAGAATAGCTGGGGTTTGCAGGCATGTGCCACACTGACTGGCTAATTTCTGTATTTTTAGTGCCTTGCTAATTTTTATATTTTTTGTAGAGATGGTCAGGCTGGTCTCAAACTCCTGACAGCATGATCCACCCATCTCGGCCTCCCAAAGTGCTGGGATTACAGGCGTGAGCCACCTCGCCCAGCCTCCAATCTTCATTTTATAAAATTGGGACAGCAAATGTTATGAAGTGTTGGTAATATTTCAAGTTACTCTGTTTTTTAACAATTCTTTTGGTGGTGCTTCCTAATTTTCCATGCTACCTCAAGACCCAATTTGGCTTAATGTGGGCTAGAGGTCACAGAAATCCCTGTTCCCACCACCTAAGAGCTTTAAAGCCTCAAGATATCTAAATCAGTAAGGTGAGAAAACAGCCTATTGCAATAAGATTCCAGGGAAATTGGATTCCTTGGGCCGAAAGAAGCAAATATAGACTGGAAGTCTTAGAGCTTAAGGAACACAGAAGAGTTTTAAAATCCTCACTTTTCCGTTCCAACCAGTGAAAATGTAAACAGGGGAAAAGATCTCAGAACTCTCTTTTTGTGAATAATTGGATTTCCAACCAGTAGTTAATTGTGCTTAATATAACCACAGGTTATTTAATCAGGCTGCTATTGGTGAAATCTACATGGTTTCCTTTTTTTAACCCTTAAAATTGTAACTCAGACATCACCTAGGGGCTTTGCTGAACTTGGAGAACTGGGTAATCTTGGCTCCAATGTCTAGGGTCTAGGGTAATTGAAAGATGACTGTATTTTTAGTGGTTTAATTTCACATAGGCTTCACTGCCTCTGTTCCTACTCCAGGTCATATCTGGACATTGTGACCCTGTACCGCTAGGCACCCTTGACTGAACAAGTTTGACTGATCCAAGCTGGGTCAATCAAGGTTACTTACCTGATAATTTTATGTTAGAACTGATGGTCTTTACTTTTCATTTCTGTGTAGGGCTGGTCCTGAAGCATGTATATTCAGAGCTGAGGGGCAGCCAGTGTTTGGAGAGAGAGACATCTGCTCTACAGAGAAAGAAGGCTGAGACAGGTGGATCACTTGAGGTCAGGAGTTCAAGACCAGCCTGGCCAAAATGATGAAACCCTATCTCTATTAAAAATACAGAGGGCCAGGTGTGGTGGCTAATGGCTATAATCCCAGTACTTTGGGACAGCAAGAGCAAAACTCTGTCTCAGGAAAAAAAATAACAAAAACAAACAAACAAAAACAAACAGGGCCAGGTGCAGTGGCTCATGGTCTGTAATCCCAGCACTTTGGGAAGCCGAGGTGGGCGGATCACCTGAGGTCAGAAGTTCGAGACCAGCTTGGCCAGCATGGTAAAATCTCATCTCTACTAAAAATACAAAAAATTATCCAGGCATGGTGGCCCGTGCCTGTAATCCCAGCTACTCGAGAAGCTGAGGCAGGAGAACTGCTCAAACCTGGCAGGCGGAGGTTGCAGTGAGCTGACATCCTTCCACTGTACTCCAGCCTGGGTGACAGAGCGAGACACCATCTCAAAAACAAAACAAAAACAATAAATACAAAAAAATTCGCTGAGTATGGCGGCACATGCCTATAGTCCCAGCTACTAAGGAGCCTGAGGTGGGAGGACCCTTTGAACCCAGGAGGTGGAGATTGCAGTGAGCCAAAATGGTGCCACCTTATTCCAGCCTGGGTAACAGAGTGAAACTCTGTCTCAAAATAATAATAATAATAATAAATAAAAATAAATTTTTTTTGTAGAGACAGGGTCTCACTGTATTGCCCAGGCTGGTCTCATACGCCTGGGCTTAAGTGATCTGCCTGCCCTGACCTTCCAAAGTGCTGGGATTACTGGAGTGAGCCATCATGCCCGGCAACTATCACTACTACCTGTTTCTGGAATTTTTCATCTTCCCAAATAGAAACTCTGCATTCACTTAAAAATAATTCCCCATCCATTCTTCTTAGCCTCTGGTAACCTCTATTTTACATTCTATCTCTATCAGTTTGCTTATTCTAGTTATCTTATTATAAGTGTATTCATATCATATTTGTCCTTTTGGGTCTGGTTTATTTCACTTAGCATAATAATTTCTAAGTTCAGTTGGGGTGTGATGGTTCACTCCTATAATCCCAGCATTTTTGAAGGCCGAGGCAGGTGGACTGCTTGAACCCAGGAGTTTGAGACCAGCCTAGGCAACATGGAAAAACCTCATCTCTACAAAAAATGCAAAAATTAGCAGGGTGTGGTGGCATGAGCCTGTAGTCCCAGCTACTCAGGAGGCTGAGATGGTAGGATCACTTAAGCCTTGGAAGCAGAGGTTTCAGCAAGCCGAGATTGTGCCACTGCATTCTAGCCTGGGTAACAGACAGAGTGAGACCCTATTTCAAAACAAAAACAAAAGCACAACAATATTTTCAAGGTTTATTCATATTCTAGCATTTATTTGAATTTCATTCCTTTTTATGGCTGAATAATGGTCTATGTATGGCTGGGTGCGGTGGTTCATGCCTGCTATCCCAGCACTTTGGGAGGCTGAGGCAGGCAGATCACAAGGTCAGGAGTTTGAGACCAGCTTAGCCAACATGATGAAACCCCATCTCTACTAAAAATACAAAATTAGCCAGGCATGGTGGTGGGTGCTTGTAATCCCAGCTACTCAGAAGGCTGAGGTAGGAGAATTGCTTGAACCTGGGAGTGAGCAGAGATCGTGCCCTTGCACTTTAGCCTGGGCAACAAAGCAAAACTCTGTCTCCAGCAAACAAACAAAAGGTTGGGCGCGGTGGCTCACGCTTGTAATCTCAGCACTTTGGGAGGCTGAGGCGCGCAGATCACCTGATGTCAGAAGTTCAAGACCAGCCTGACCAACACGGAGAAACCCTGTCTCCAGTAAAAATACAAAATTAGCCGGTGGTAGTGACACATGCCTGTAACCCCAGCTACTTGAGAGGCTGAGGCAGGAGAATCACTTGAACCCAGGAGGCAGAGGTTGGGGCAAGCCAAGATCGTGCCATTGCACTTCAGACTGGGCAACGAGAGGAAAACTAAAAAAAAAAAAAAAAAAAAAAAAAAGTGTATGTATATAGCACATTTTGTTTATTCATCTGTTGAGGGACACAGGTTGCTTCCATCTTTTGGCTATTGTGAATAATGCTGCTATAAACATTGATGCACAAGTATCTAAGCTTTGCTTTCAGTTCCTTTGGGTATACAGGCATCTGTGAGTGGAACTGCTGGCTCATAGCTAATACTATGCCTGACTCTTTGAGGACAAAGTATAATTTTTATTTTTTTATTTTTATTTTATTTTATTAAGGAAATGTCTGAGTCATAAAAGTATGTTTTGAAAAGGTAAGAACGCCGGGTGCAGTGGCTCACGCCTATAATCCCAGTGCTTTGGGAGGCTGAGGCGGGTGGATCACAAGGTCAATAGATCAAGACCATCCTGGTCAACATGGTGAAACCCCATCTATACTAAAAATACAAAACATTAGCTGGGCATGGTGGCGCGTGCCTGTAATCCCAGCTACTCAGGAGACTGAGGCAGGAGAATTGCCTGAACCAGGAGGCAGAGGTTGCGGTGAGCCGAGATCGCACCATAGCACTCCAGCCTGGGTAACAAGAGTGAAACTCTGTCTCAAAAAAAAAAAAAAAAAAAGAAAGAAAAAGAAAAAAGAAAAGGTAAGAACATGCAAATATATAGTGAGGGTATGTCAGTGATTTATTTAACTTATTCAGGGGAGAGCCAGCAGAAGAACAAAGCTGATTCAATAGAGAATTCAAGAGACTCGTGAAAGAAAGAATGCTGAAGTTAGATTTCTAAATTAGATACAAAATACGTTATTCTACAGAGCATAAAAGCATAATTTTGGGGAATAGTTTTTCTTTTCTTTTTTTTTTTTTTTTGAGACAGTCTCACTCTGTCACTGAGGCTGGAGTGCAGTGGCTCGATCTTGGCTCACTGCAACTTCTGCTTCCCAAGTTCAAGCGATTCCCCTGCCTTAGCCTCCTGAGTAGCTGGGATAACAGGTGCTTGCCACCATATCCAGCTAATTTTTGTATTTTATTAATAGAGATGGGATTTCACCATGTTGGCCAGGCTGGTCTCAAACTCATGACCTCAAGTGATCCCCCTGCCTCAACCTCCCAAAGTGCTGGGATTACAGGCGTGAGCCACTGCTCCCAGTGGGGAATATTTTTTCTACCAGACACAAATAATTTACATCTCAGCTGGGCATGGCAGGTGAATTACTCTTGTAATCGCAGCACTTTGGGAGGATGCAGCAGGCAGATTGCTTGAGCTCAGGAGTTCAAGATCAGCCTGGGTAAGAAAGAGAAATCCTGTCTCTGCCAAAACAACAACAACAACAAATTAACCAAGCATAGTGGCATGAGACTGTAATCCCAGTTACTCCGGAAGCTGAGGCAGGAGGATTGGTTGAGAGGTCAAGACAAAAAAGAAAAAAAAAATTTAACATTTCTACCATACAAAAATTATTTGCAATTTATCAATCTATAAGTTAACATCTAATTTTAGTCCAGCCTTAATAGAAAATGGCAAGTTATTTACATTTTTTTCTCCTTGAACCATAAAATTTTATTGGCAGGTCAGGGGTAGCGCAGGCTAAGTGTCCCTTCCTTCCCATCTGCCCACCCAGGAGACACCCTCTGAAGGACAGCAGAAGCCCCGGGCCTGCGGCCTCCTCGGAGGACCTTGGAGGCGGACAGGTTGTTGTAGCGATCTTCCTTACCCTCGAGCAGGCTGCGGTAGGTGGCGATCTCCTGCTCCAGCCGCAACTTGACGACCAGTAGCCGTTGGTACTCCTGATTCTGCCGCTCACTATCAGCGCGCAAGCATATCGCCCAGCAGGGCTTCAATATCGCTGATCTCCGCCAGCTGAACTCCAAAGTGCGCCTCCGTTTCTGCCAGTGTGCCTTCCAAGCGGGCTTTCATGCTCAGCAGTGACTGCAGCTCGATCTCAAGACGCTGGAGGGTGCGCCAAGGTCAGTGACCTCGGTCTTGCTCATCTGGAGCTGCTCCGTGTGGCCAGCGACCTCCCGGTTCGGTTCTTCAGTCCGGCTGGTGAAACAGGCTTCAGCATCCTTCCGGTTCTGCTCCGCCAGGACCTCACATTGGCTTTGCATGTCACTCAGGATCTTGACGAGATCGGCACCCGGAGCCGAATCCACCTCCACACTGACCTGGCCTCCCACTTGGCCCCTCAGCACGCTGATTTCCTCCTCGTGGTTCTTCTTCAGGTAGGCCAGCTCTTCTTTCAGCGTTTCAATCTGCATCTCCAGGTCGCTCCTGGCCAGGATCAGCTCCTCCAGCCCCCTGCGCAGGGCTTTGATGCTGGCCTCCACGCTCATGCGCAAAGCCTGCTCGGTCTCAAACTTGGTTCGGAAGTCATCTGCGGCCAGACGGGCATTGTGGATCTGCAGGACAATCCTGGAGTTCTCAATGGTGGCACCAAGAATCTTGTCCCGCAGGTCCTGGATGGTCTTGTAGTAGCGGCTGTAGTCGTGGGAGGACCCAGTCTCCTGCTTCTGGTACCAGTCGCGGATCTTCACCGCCAACTCGCCTTTGGCCGCCTCCAGGGCGCGCACCTTGTCCAGGTAGGAGGCCAGGCGGTCGTTGAGGTTCTGCGACGAGCTTCTCGTTGCCCGCCAGCAGCCCTTCAGCCGCGGCCAGGACGCCGTCGTAGCCCCCCGAGGAGGGCGAGGACACGAAGCGGGAGGAGGACACCGACACGCCGCAGCTGCGGAGCCCCTGTGCATACTGGGCGCGAAAGGCGACCCCCGGCCCAAAACGCACAGAGCCGCCGCCCAGGCCCTTGAAGGACTACGTGGACTTCCTAGCTGTAGGAAGTCATGGCGAGGCGGGGCACGGACGGAGCCACCCTGGTCCCAGAGGCTGCCATCACGAGAGGAGCCAAGTGAGTTACATTTTCTTGGAGAATCATATGACTGTTAAACGGACTCATTAGACAACGTTTTAGTATGATATTGAAAGGGCAAGCCGGGCGTGGTGGCGCGTGTCTGTAGTCCCAGCTACTCTGGAGGCTGAAGTGGGAGGATCGCTTGAGCCCAGGAGGTCTGGGCTGCAGTGCGCTATGCCAATGGGGTGTCCGCACTAAGTTCGGCATCAAAATGGTGACCTCCCGGGAGCGGGGGACCACCAGGTTGCCTAAGGAGGTGTGAACCGGCCCAGGTCAAAAACGGAGCAGATCAAAACTCCCGTGCTGACCAGTAGTGGGATCACGCCTGTGAACAGACACTGCATACCAGCCTGGGCAACATAGTGAGACCCCATCTCTTAAAAAAATAAAAAATATATAATTAAACAAAAATAAGAAAGGGCAAGCAATAATTTTGCCACATCTCCAAATTTTGGGTAATGTTTTTTGTATTTATTGCTGTTTGTTTATAGTCTTTTTTTGTATTCATTTTTCTTTGAGACAGAGTTTTGCTCTTTTTAAAGATGAGGTTTCACCACAATGGCCAGGCTGGTCTTGAACTCCTGACCTCAGGTGATCCACTCACCTCGGCCTCCCAAAGTGCTAGGATTACAGGCGTGAGCCACTGTGCCCAGCTGAGTTTTGTTCTTGTTGCCCAGGCTGGAGCGCAATGGTGCAATCTTGGCTTGCTGCAACCTCCACCTCCTGGATTCAAGAGATTCTCCTGCCTCATCCTCCCGAGGAGCTGGAATTATAGGCGTCCACTTCCATGCCCCACTAATTTTTTTTTTTTTTTTTTTTTTTTTGAGATGGAGTCTCACTCTGTCACCAGGCTGGAGCTGGAGTGCAGTGGCATGATCTCGGCTCACTGCAACCTCTGTCCCCTGGGTTCCAGCCATTCTCCTGCCTCAGTCTCACAAGTAGCTGGGACTACAGGCGCTTACCACCAAACCCAGCTAATTTTTGTATTTTTAGTAGAGAAGGGCTTTTACCATATTGGCCATAATGGGCTTGATCTCCTGACCCTCAGGTAATCCACCCGCCTCGGCCTCCCAGAGTGCTGGGATTATAGGCGTAAGCCACCATGCCCGGTCTTGTATTCATTTTTTCTATCTTTTCTTTAATTGTTTTTATCTAGTGGTGTTATGCTTACCAAAGTTCACTATATGTGTGTGTTTATGTAAATGTATATGCATTTGTATACATATTCACCTTTTTTTTGTATTATATGGTTTTATTTTTGAAATTTAATTTGTAAACCATTAAATATTTTATTTATCAGAAATATGTTCTTAGATATGGCTTGAGGTAGGGCACTAGCATTTTCCCCAAGGTGTTAGCTAATGTTTCAATGTCATCCCCCTCCTGCACTTAAGTGAAATGCCATGTATCATGGACTAAATTCTCTTTTTTTTTTTAAAGATGGGGTTTCACCATGTTGGTCAGGCTCGTCTTGAACTCCCAACCTCAGGTAATCTGTCCACCTTGGCCTCCAAAGTGCTTGGATTACAGGCATAAGCCACTATGCCCAGCCTTTTTTATCTTTTTTTTTTTTTTTTTTTTTTTTTTTTTAAAGAGACTAAATTCTTTACACCAAAAGACTAAATTCTCATACTTCCCCCCCAGCCCCCAGAGATGGAGTTTCGCTCTTGTTACCCAGGCTAGAGTGCAATGGCACGATCTCAGTTCACTGCAACCTCTGCCTCCTGGGTTCAAGCAATTCTCCTGCCTCAGCCTCCCGAGTAGCTGGGACTACAGGCGCACGCCACCATGCCCAGCTAATTTTTTGTATTTTTAGTAGAGACGGGATTTCACCTCATTGACCAGGATGGTCTTGATCTCTTGACCTCGTGATCCACCCGCCTCGGCCTCCCAAAGTGCTAGGATTATAGGCGTGAGCCATCGCACCTGGCCTAAATTCTCATACTTGAATCGGGCGCGGTGGCTAACATATGTAATCCTAGCACTTTGGGAGTCTGAGGTAGGTGGATCACCTGAGGTTAGGAGTTCAAAACCAGCCTGGACATCAGCAGACTAGGCTGACAGGCAGGACTTGGGTGTGGAGTTGGAATGTTAGCTGCTAGAGGTGGAAAAAGACCTAGCCTGGGCTAGTTGAGGAGTTGGAGGCAGTGAAAATGTGAGTCATGCCAGGAAAATCACTGGTGATCAAGGGACTTAGAGGAAAGGGTTAAAATTTCAGAATAATGTCAGCTTATGTGGCCCGGAGAAATCTGTGGAGTGTTCCCCCCAGCATTTAAAAGTTACAAAGAGGGAAAGAGCTGGGACTGCTAATGACACTGCAAGCCATACACATTAAGTAAACCAGCTTGTATAAGGACAAAAAAAATGGGCTTAAGAGAAAAGACCACTGGGTGAGCTCATAGTGCTGTTATGTAAGGAGATAGTTTGCTAGCCAGAGAGGAGTAAAGACCTTGGGATTTCAGCCAATTTAGAGTTAGAAGTGAACTGTGCTGGTAGTTTTTATATCAAAAGAGCATTATGGGCCAGGCATGGTGGCTCATGCCTATAATCCCAGTACTTTAGGAGGCCAAGGTGGGCGGATCACTTGAGCATAGGAGTTGCAGTTCAGTCTGGGCAACATAGAGAGACCCCATACATACAAATAATTAAAAAATTAGGTAGGTGTGGTGGCATGCACTTGTGGTCTGAATTACTCTGAGGGCTGAGGCAGGTAGATGGCCTGAGCCTGGAAGGTTGAAGCTACAGTGAGCAATGATCATGCCATTGCACTCCAGCCTGGGCAACGGAGTGAGACCCTGTGTCAAAAAAAAAAAAAAAAAAAAAAAAAAAATCATTATGCTTACAGAAATGCTTGAGTGGCCAGGCACGGTGGCTCACACCTGTTATCCCAGCACTTTGGGAGGCCAAGGTGGGTGGATCACTTGAGGTCAGGAGTTCGAGACCAGCTGGCCAAATAGTGAAACTCTCTCTCTACTAAAAATACAAAAATTCGCCTGGTGTGGTGGTGGGCACCTGTAATCCCAGCTACTCGGGAGGCTGAGGCAGGAGAATTGCTTGAACCTGGGAGACGAAGCTTGCAGTGAGCCAAGATCATGCCACTGCACCCCAGCCTGGGCGACAGAGTGAGACTTTGTCTCAAAAAAAAAAGCAAAAGAAAAATGCTGGAATGAAAAAAGAAGACTAAACTATGTTCTTCTACTTTTTAATCCAGTATTTCTTTTTTTTTTGAAATGGAGTCTTGCTCTGTCACCCAGGCTGGAGTGTAGTGGCATGATCTCGGCTCACTGCAACCTCCACCTCCTGGGTTCAAGCAATTCTTCTGTCTCAGCCTCCCGAGTAGCTGGGTCAGGCACGCGTTACCACACCCGGCTAATTTTTGTATTTTTAGTAGAGATGGGGTTTCACCATGTTGCTCAGGCTGGTCTTGAATTCCTGACCTCATGATCTGCCCGCCTCAGCCTCCCAAAGCTCTGGGATTACAGGAATGAGCCACCAGGCCCGGCCCCCATTATTTCTCATATTTCTATTTGTATTTATGTTTACACAAAGTTAAAGAGGTTTTCTATAGGACTTCTCAGAGCCTTAAAAATGGTAATATTAATCCACTGATATCTCCTAGAACAAACACTGTCCTGTGAAGTACAGTTTAGAAGGCTGAGGTAGGAGAATTGCTTGAGGCCAGGAATTCAAGACCTGCCTGAGGAACATAGTGAGACCCCCATTTCTTTTTTTTTCTTTTCTTTTCTTTTTCTTTTTTTGAGATGGAGTCTTGCCCTGTCGCCCAGGTTAAAAAGTGGTGGTGCCGGGCCGGGCGCGGTGGCTCAAGCCTGTAATCCCAGCACTTTGGGAGGCCGAGGCGGGTGGATCACGAGGTCGAGAGATCGAGACCATCCTGGTCAACATGGTGAAACCCCATCTCTACTAAAAATACAAAAAAATTAGCTGGGCATGGTGGCTTGTGCCTGTAATCCCAGCTACTCAGGAGGCTGAGGCAGGAGAATTGCCTGAACCCAGGAGGTGGAGGTTGTGGTGAGCCGAGATCGCGCCATTGCACTCCAGCCTGGGTAAGAAGAGCGAAACTCCGTCTCAAAAAAAAAAAAAAAAAAAAAGTGGTGGTGCCATCTTGGCTCACTGCAACCTCTGCCTCCTGGGTTCAAGTGAATCTCCTGCCCCAGCCTCCTGAGTAGCTGGGATTACTGACACTCGACGGCATATCCAGCCAATTTTTGTATTTTTAGTAGATATGGGGTTTTGCCACGTTGGCCAGGCTGGTCTCAAGCTCAACTTCAGGTGATCCACCTGCCTTGGCCTCCCAAAGTGCTGGGATTACAGGTGTGAACCACTGTGCCTGGCAACAAGATCCTCGTTTCTACAAAGAAAAAAAAAAGCTGCATGTGACCCATGACTGTAGTCTTAGCTACTCAGGAGGTTAGGTGGGAAGATTGCTTGGGCCCAGGCTGTAGTGAGCTATGACTGCGCCACTGAACTCGTCTGGGTGACAGAACGAGATCATCTAAAAGAAAAAGAAAGAAAAAGAGCAGCAGTGTAGTTGTGAGAAACTTGTGTAAACTTGAACAAGTTCCTTAACCTTATAGATTTTAGAGTTTAAGAAAGGGTTGTTACTCTGACTAAAGGCTTTGATTCACTCAGTGTAAGATCAGGGAGGCCAGAAAATCACCATTACCTGAGCATGTAGTTTACCAGTGAAGCAAAAAATTGCAGAAGCTGCTCCAAAGAGTAGGGCAGGAGTCCTCTGGATACTTGTCAGGGAAAAATATGAGTCCCCAGCTGATGGAGAAACTTTTGTCTCTTGGTGGGCAGCCTATGAACACTATATATTTAAAAACAAACACCTCCTAACTGCGCACAGTGGCTCACGCCTGTAATCCTAGCACTTTGGGAGAGTGAGGTGGGTGGATCACAAGGTCAGGAGTTCGAAACCAGCCTGGCCAATATAGTGAAACCCCAATCTCTACTAAAAATACAAAAATTAGCTGGGCATGGTGGTGTGTGTCTGTAGTCCCAGTTCCTCTGGAAGCTGAGGCAGGAAAATCACTTGAACCCAGAAGGTAGAGGTTGCAGTGAGCCGAGATCACTCCACTACACTTCAGCCTGGGCAACAGAAGGGGACTCTGTCTCAAACAAAAAAGAACAAAAACCGAAAAACACCTGTGATTGCTTAGGACTAAATTTAATCATTGTATTCCAGAGTGGCATTTAACAACTTCCTGCTTCTGAAATACTTAAGATGCTCTGCCGAATGAAAAGAATTTGTCCTCCGATCACAGTGTCTCCAACACTAAATATTCTGGACACTTGTTGGTTCACAATTGTGATTCTTGGAAACTTGCCACTTTAGATTCTTCAGGATTTTCAAGTAACCTTTTCCTGACTTCATTTATTTAAATATCCCAGAATAGTCTCTTGAGCTATAAGTTTGATGATCCAGGAAACTATTTATAGCAGGATGAGTACTCTCTGTGACTGATGTTAGTTATGTTTTATTTTGAGAAGGACAAATCATTAAAAAGATTGATAGGGCTGGTGGTATTTTAAACTGAAAGCAGTACCAAAGCAAACAAGGCAGTTGAGGAATGAAGTTGGAACACAGTAAGATATGGGTGTACTTTTCGTCAACTTAGCTGAGTTAGGGAGGTCTTCCAATAGAAGGAAGGCAGAAACAGGCAGTAACACGGACATAGCGATCTTTTAGGTCCACTGGACACTTTAGCCTAGGCAGCCTGGGCTGTTTGCTCAGTGATTAACCACTGAGATAAACAGATGGAGCTAGGACTCTGTCATAATTAAGGTCAATAGTATGCTTAGTATTATTGATATCCCCCTAGGTAGGAGAAAGACAGAGGAAGGAAGGTCATGGTCAATCTAACTTAAAAAAAACTTTAAAAAATTGTCATTAAAATAGACATAACATTTATCATTTTAATTATTTTAAATGTATAAGTCAGTGTCACTGAGTTATGCACATTGTCACACAACTATCATCAGCATCTATCTCCCGAACTTTATCTTCCCAAACCAAAACTCTATCCCTTAAACCAGGCGTCGCCAAACTTTTTACACAGGGGGCCAGTTCACTGTCCCTCAGACCGTTGGAGGGCTGCCACATACTGTGCTCCTCTCACTGACCACCAATGAAAGAGGTGCCCCTTCCTGAAGTGCGGCAGGGGGCCGGATAAATGGCCTCAGGGGGCCGCATGTGGCCCGCGGGGCCGTAGTTTGGGGACGCCTGCCTTAAACTCTCCATTTCACTCTACTTGTGAAATGGTTTTCTGTCTTTAATCTAGTTGTCTATTCTAGGTCCCTGATACAAGTGGAACCGTATTACATTTTCTTTTTTTTTTTGCGATGGAGTCTTGCTCTGTTGTCAGGCTGGAGTGCAGTGATATGATCTCCGCTCACTGCAACCTCCACCTCCTGGGTTCAAGCAATTCTCCTTGCCTCAGTCTCCTAAGTGTTAAAACTCGAGTGCTGAATGAAGAGACTCCCCAAAAAGGCTCTGTGTGGGCAAGTTTATTTACCTGGGTGCAGGCGGGCTGAGACTGAAAAGGGTGTCAGCGAAGGGCAGTGAGATAGGAGTTGGTTTTATAGGTTTGGGTGGGCAGTGGAAAGTTACAGTTTAGGGCAGTTTTTTGCAAGTTGGGAGGGAGTCGTAGGGTGTAGAGTCACGAGGCTGACAAAGGTGGGTTACAAAGTCCAATGGCCTTATCAATTAGGAATTAAGAATAAGGAACATTAGAGAATGTCTCAAAGTTGAGTAGGCGCAGCAGGGGTTGATCATTTTTCTCTTTTCATGGTCTTCCAGTTACTTCAGATTTTCCAGGAACTCATCTGGAGTGTCTGTGCAAGTCAGAGGTTAACATGGCATCCATGGCACCATCAGTCAGCCAAAAAGACCTTACACTGAGTAGCTGGGACTGCAGGTACACCACCACGCCCAGTTAATTTTTACATTTTTAGTAGAGACTGGGTTTCACCCTGTGGGCCAGGATGGTCTTGATTTCTTGCCCTCATGATCAGCCCACCTTGGCCTTCCAAAATGCTGGGATTACAGGTGTGAGCCAGCACACCTGGACTTCCTTTGCCTTTTCAAGGCTATATAATGTACTGATGTGTGTGTACACTAAACTCGGAAAACTCATTTGTCAATGGACATGTGTGTTGTTTCCTCCTTTTAGCTACTGTGAATAAGCAACTATGAACATGGGTGAATAATGTACAAATATGTCCCTGCTCTCGTTTTTTCAAAGGCTGTTCCTTGCTGCCTCCACTCTTTTTATTCCCAGTACCCTTTCATAGGTAAGCACCTGGTACTTGTCTTTGAAGAAAAAACGGGTTTTAATTAGGCAAAATGTGAGAACTGTGTGGCCATTGGCAAGTTTTAACGATAAAGAACCTGGCTTTGGCGTAGCTCTTACAGACTTAAGTACCTTCTGAGGTGGCAGGAAATGCCCGAATTTAAAAGGAAGGGGATACCAGGGCAATGCAATTTCTTCTTTGCTCATTTACTTTTAAAATGGCTGAAGGGCAACAACTATAGCCTTGAGATGAAGCTTCAACGCATGGTGGACCCTCCAACAACAGAAGACTTCTTTTATTCCTCAAACTATGGTCTCTATTGCTAGTTTTTCAAACTTGAACACAGCCTTTTCCTTTTCTGGGCAGTTCTAGTCTCCAGCATTCTGTACTGGGTTCACCTTTACTTGTTTAGCCACCCTCCCAATGGGGATCATCCAGTTTCTGCAGAGGTGAAACTTATATAGCGTTTGGGGGCCTTAAAAATACACAAATAATTAAAACGACAAATCAGAACACATTACTAGGGACTTGTAGATTCAGATTCTCCTTAGATCTCTAGGCAGTTTATTAGAAATGCTTACATAGGTTTGCTTTCTAATCTCAAGCTGGCTTCCCCTCTCCATAACTCTTAGCAACTGCTCTCCCAGGAGGCCATGTAACTGAGGGGCCTTTAAGCTTAAGGTTTATTAGCTTCTTGTAAAGGTCTGAGCGAACCTTCCAGGCCAGGGAGTGTGTCATCTGCCTCCGTATTCCTTGCACCCAGATTAGAGCCTGCCATTGGGCAGGTGCTTGGAATGTGCTGGGGATTAAAGGCTTACGTCTTGCAGGCCCCTCAATATGATCTAAGGACACGAGTGGCTTAGAAAACGGTGCAACAAGGCCGAGCGAAAGAAAACAAGGCGGTGTGGTTGTGAGTGGGCTTCTTCCCTCCGCTGGTGAGGGTGCCATCTTAAGACTATGACTAAGCCCGACCCAAGGCCTTGCAGAGGGCCGCGTTCCAATGGCGGCCTTCTTCCCTACTGGCCAACCTGCCCCAAGAAGAGCAGAAAACACCCTGTGGGATCTGAAGATCAGCTCGCGTCTCATTCTGGGGGCCCAAAAGAAGGTGGAAAGCCAAGACATCCCATCACCGGAAGTTTGAGATTAAGAAAAACGGCGGAAGTAGGTCGCAGGGCTTCCTCAGTATATTGACTCAAGCCGGCTCGCCTACTTTCCTCGAGAAGGGGAGGTGCTCCCCAACTCTATGCCGCTGCGCAGCTCCGGGGTTCCAAGAGCAGGCTCCACAGGACAGCAGCGCTCCTCAGCCTTTTTTCAGCCACCCAGTTCCTTCCCAGATTCTCGGGCCAGGACGTGACGTACTCTTACGTAGCTTGGGCGGGGCCTCAAGGGGAAAAGCGTCCGAGCAGAGCTATCGCGAGAACATTCCGTTATTTTGCAGTTCTCGTGCTTCGGCTAAGCTCTCGTCGCAACGAGATCTTTCGAGATCTTCTCCGCCCCCGCTACCGGCGCCTCCTCTGCGGCCACTGAGCCGGAGCCGGCCTGAGCAGCACTCGGTTGCACCACCCACTCTAAGGACCTAGGCGCTCGCGTGGACGCCGCGCGCCCCTCGGTAGCCTCGGCCCAAGAGGCCTGCTTTCCACGCGCTAGCCTCGCCGGGGTCCGTGTCCTGTCTCGGCGGCCGGACCCGGGCCCGAGCCCGAGCAGTAGCCGGCGCCATGTCGGTAGTGGGCATAGACTTGGGCTTCCAGAGCTGCTACGTCGCTGTGGCCCGCGCTGGCGGCATTGAGACTATCGCTAATGAATACAGCGACCGCTGCACGCCGTAAGTGTGGGCCGGGCCGGCCGCGTGCACGGGGGAGAGGAGCTAGTGCTTGTTTCAGTCTGGGACCCTCGCTGCTTGGGGAACGCGGGCCGAAGAGTCGCCTCCGTTCCGAACCGAGGTTCGGTTGGGTCAGGGACCCCCCCCCCCCACAGTGGGTGCCGGGACACTAGGGGCCGCGACCCACCGTGAGCGTGTGTGCGCGCTTAGCACATGGGCCGAACGAAGGCTTCTGGCTGTACTCTGAGCAGTTGAGGGCACGGGAAGGAACTGGAGGGACTGCAGGCCTAGGACGTAAATGGGTCGCGGTCCTTTTCTGGAGGGCAGAGACCAGGCCTAGTTCGTACTCATGTCTTTTGAGTCCAACATAGTGCTCAGAACTTTGCACACAGCAGGCGCTTAATAAAAGTTGAATTGAACGGGTTCTGGGGCTTGCCAGCCTCGAGACCATGGAGGGGTCAGCTTCCCACGTGAGTGGCAGCGGGGCAGCGCCCGGAAGAGAACGAGGTACAGAAGCCTCAGGCTCGAGTTCCGGATGGACTCGGGATCTTGAGATTGGGGTGGCAACGGATAGGAATTTAATGAAATTGGTGCTCTTTTGATACCTTTGCAGTCACTTTTGTTTTCACATTATTTCGGGGTATTGGGTCATCCTCTGTTCGGTGCGCGTTAACCCCTTGATAGGGTTGCACTTTCAAATGAATTCTTTTTTTTTTTTTTGAGACAGTTTCGCTTGTTACCCAGGCTGGAGTGCATGGAATGGCGCGATCTCGGCTCACCGCAACCTCCGCCTCCTGGGTTCAGGCATTTCTCCTGCCTCAGCCTCCTGAGTAGCTGGGATTACAGGCGCGTGCCACCATGCCCAGCTAATTTTTTTTGTATTTTTAGTAGAGACGGGGTTTCACCATGTTCACCAGGATGGTCGCGATCTCTTGACCTCGTGATCCACCCGCCTCGGCCTCCCAAAGTGCTGGGATTACAGGCTTGAGCCACCGCGCCCGGCCTCAAATGAATTCTAACCAGTGTGTTGGCCACATTGTTGGTGGCTCAAGGGCCTGCTTTGACTTCTAGAACCTATAGTTAAGTTCTGGGACCAGCATAGACACAACTCTAAAAAAATGGTGAGTCACTCAGGTCTTTCACTGGTTAGAGTAAAGTAAAAGCCTTTTGAGTACACGTAGATACATTTTAATTCATTGTCATGTTCTTAGACACAATCTTGTAAGAAGCTCTGTATTATTGCCATTCAGAATCTCAATTTTATTTTTTTTGAGACAGGGTCTCACTCTTGCCCAGGTTGGAGTGCAGTGTCGCGATCTTGGCTCACTGCAGCCTCGACCTCCCTGGCTCAGGTGTTTCTCCCACCTCAGCCTCCTGAGTAGCCGGCATTACAGGTGTGCGCCACCATGCTTGGCTAATTTTTGCGTTTCGCTGTATCACTCAGGTTGGTCTCGAACTCCTGGACTCCGCAATCCACCTGCCCCGGCCTTCCGGAGTCCTGGGATTACAGACATGAACCACCATGCCCTGCCCACGGGCTCAATTGTTACGGATTGATGGAGAGGGGTCTCACTTTATTGCCCAGGCTAGAGTGCTGTGGCAAGATCTCGGTTCACTGCAGCCTCGGCTTCCAGGGTTCATGGGATTCTCCTGACTCAGCCTCCTGAAGAGCTGGGATTACAGGCGAGTTCCACCACGCCTGGCTGAATTTGGTATTTTTAGTGGAGATGGGGGTTCTCGAGTTGCCCAGGCTGGTCTAGAACTCCTGACCTCAAGTGATCCTCCGGCCTGGGTCTCCCAAAATGCTAGGATTATGGCATGAGCCACTGAGCCTGGCCCCAGGGGCTCGATTCTAAGGTTCATTATTTTCATCCTGAATTTTTGTCACACTTCTTCAGCAGATTTCAGCCAAACTAGATTGTTCAGAAGTTTCACATTTCCCTTCACTTGTCAAATTTACACAGATGTTTCCCCTAAAAACTCATCCCAGAAGCCAAAACTAGTTTGGTGTCCCTTTGCTGAGTCTTGTTAACAGCTTTATTAAGGGGTGTGTGTGTGTGTTTTTTTAAACGAGTCTTGTTCTGTCCCCTAAGCTGGAGTTCAGTGGTGTAATCTCGGCTCACTGCAAC